ACGAGCGGAGGCTGTCAGCAACGGTAACCGATAGCAATCCCACCGTCAGCAACTCCTCGCAACTTATGGGCGCTAATTACATGACCAAATTGCGCCTGGAACTCGAGTAAAGGCCTGAGTGCACCAAGAGCAGCCTAAGGCGATCCAGGTTAGCCATAACGCCACGTAAGCGAACACTATGAGGTGCCTTGAGTTTAGGGATAGGCACGTTAAGTTCGTGAATGAAGATATTTTTTGTTGCGTGGCGAGCTGCACGACTGCGCTCGCCCCTGATCCGGTGTAACACATTACACTTTAATTAGCGAAACTAAACCGTTAGTCTTATGTAGAATGATATGTGTAGTATATGTTCTGTACACAGAATAGCCTCTTTTTTTGTCGTAAAGTAGCATGTCTGACGACATCCGACAATTGAGACGGTTCGTCTCAGACGAATTGGCGGGAACCAGCCAGACAAGGAGAAACTTTGGAGGCTTGATACCACTGTCACCTTCTCCGTGAGCAGACTTGGATTAAACAACCAATATCCATCCACCGTCGGGATTTCCTTTTCGCACCAAATCATCGGCGATGTTGGACTACTACAAAATTTGTAGTACAAATTGACAATCCGTTATCCGCCGACACAGTCTGTCGGACTATGTATACCGTGAAGAGTCTTCACTGAAGACCATCACATATTTTCCCACCAGATGTGTCCACTACCAGCCCAAACTTCGTGATTCAGACAATACAACCGATAATTAAACCAAAGGTATAACGGACAGCTTTGCTGGGAAGCGGACGGGGGATATGACTGATCTCCCCCATCCGCTTCTCATTGTCAGTGCGCCATTGATATCATAATATAACATTACCAGCGCATGTGTACGGCACGAGCCTATCATCGGTTTGCAACAACCTTGTAGAGTCCTCTGTTAAATTGTGAGGCTTGTGAGGCACTTTCACTCGTCGTAGTGAGCGCCGCACACCCACCGATGTCGATATAAGGGCAGTGCAGTATAACTATATTCATAAGGGAAACTACCACACAAACAACAGACTGTTGCGTGGACAGAAAAGTCCGCGTATCAACAGAACGGTGCGACCAGCAGCTGGCCCCATTGAGTTCTCCGCTTCCTTGCGAGAAAGTTTCCCCTCGCATCTGCTCCACTCCCACTAGGGGGACCCTCTCGCCTGATGGTTGTTGTTTTAACAGTTCCAGACTGGAACTTCCAGCGCTGAGCGCTTAGGCATTCGAAAAAGTAAACCTGGAATCAATAATAAATTAGGATTCGAGTCTCCCTGGGAGGTTGGCGCTGCCAACTCGAATCCAGATGCCGCCAGCTTGGCGGCATCCGCACTTCCTCGTGTAATACAAGGCGTGTCCATCGAGGTGATATATCAGTGCACTCGAAGGGAGCTCCATCCAATGTTGGAATATTCGATATATGAGCATTCCAGAGGCGTAATACCGAATCGATACTACCAATGGAATTCCCAACAGCTGGGAACGGATCATCGATGATCAGACTACTCCGTACTGTGAGCTTCTCATCTTCGCGGAAGAATGAGAGGAAGTTTTTCTGAGAAAGGTCACCTCTCAGACAACCATCAGCCCCGTGGAGCGACCCCCGCTTACTCACATCCGTATAATATACTCTCCCGCTGACTTTCATGTCACTGATAATATGCGTGAGTCACGCGTTGTGAATACTGGGTCTTCGGTGCGAAGGGGTGAAGCTCGCTAAAATTCGCTAAAAAAGCGCGCGGGACAAATTTGTCTTTTCGCGGAACAAACTCCTGCGCGTTCAAGATTTAGGTTGAATTCATATCCTCAAGGGAACACGTTCACGAGGTGCGCTTTCTCGCTCGGCCTGGTTTTTCATTCTGAAGAAATTACTGAAAAGTCAAAGACTCTATGGCGCATCCTCTCTCGAATATGGTCACTACTTCAAGTTCCCGGCTCACTGTGAACCGTTCACATGGGTAACATCTTGAATCTGGATAGTAGTTCGGGTTTTGGCCGTCGGGTTTTGGATGGGGTTTCGGGTTTCCCTTTCTCCGCTCCTACGGTAGGCGCGGTAGGAGTCCTACCTGTAGTTCCTTCTTTCTTGGGGGAGGGGCATTACAATCATAATGGCTGAGCCATTAATAATGGCCCATTATTCGGATAACAGTCCGAAACCCGAGCTCTGGGGAATGAATCAGAGCTCAAAATAGTCTGTAGATTGGAGTCCGATCATTGGACCGACGAATCGCCGACCAGGAACGACGTTTCCGGAACCTGAGTGTCCGAAGCTGAAGTTCCCAGGTTTGTGTCCGACTGAAAAGACTTTGGGTCCTGAAAAAGAATTTGAGCAAGAGAACGTTGTACTGTTCCTCTTCAAAGTCGCTCTACTTGTATCAGAATTTGTGCTTACGCACGCACGGACGAACGCATACGAACAACCACGAACTGCAATATAAGCTCCGTTCGCTTCGCTCACTCTGCGATTTCAGAGATTGATTGATCAATAACTTAGCCCATCTGGAACCGCTCGTATCATAATTGCACCGATGATGAAGTCGACGACTCGCCAGAGTCGGATTGGAAAAGTTCATAGCAAAATGTATATCATTACGGATTCAACGAGCAGTGCTCGTCGAGCACTATGACCTGGAGGAGTCTCCAGTGTTCTTCCACAGGAAGGATGTTAGGAGGGATGAATGTGTCTCCAACTGAACATAAAGCTAATGCCGATACCCAGAAGGTATTAGCTATCACGTGCACACTCGCGAGTAACGAAGAGGAGACATCTCGGACCGCATGTACAAACATGTCGTATCTTGCTCACTTATGATGCCTTGTGATTTCCAAATCCGATGAGCAATCGCTCCAAACCTCTCAATTGCTGCATTCTCAATTCTCTCCCTATATCATGGGGTATTGTTTTACAGTCAGGTGTTGGACAATAGGGAACTCCCCGACGCGTGAGCTGCTCAGTCAACCTTCCTCTCAATTCCGCTGGCCGCACAACGATGTGTTTGTGACCACTTTAGGAATCCCAAACTCGTGCTTGCGACACTGCCCACACTCACACCTCATGCTACAGCCCCTCCACAGTGCAACAAAGTGTCGGCCTTCGTGCAGTTTCTCTTTTTATCACCAGAAAATGCTGTCGCGCTCGTCCACTTGCATGGGAGTCGCCAAGGAGGTGCTCCACGGCGCTGAGGCTCGTTCGCGCATGCTCGTCGGGGTCAACCGCATTGCCGACGCCGTGGCCGTCACCATGGGCCCAAAGGGTCGCAACGTGGTCATCGAGCAGAGCTTCGGGTCCCCTAAGGTCACCAAGGATGGTGTTACTGTCGCCAAGGCCATCGACCTCCCCGACAAGATGCAGAACGTCGGAGCCGCCCTCATCAAACAGGTGGCTTCCAAGACTAACGACATTGCCGGTGATGGTACTACCACCAGCACAGTGCTTGCTCGCGCCATCTACCGTGAGGGTTGCAAGGCTGTTGCTGCTGGCATGAACCCTATGGACTTGAAGAGAGGCATTGACGCCGCAGTGAAGGTGGTCATGGATGAGCTCAAGACTCGCGCTCAGCCGATCTCAACCGCCCAGGAAATCCAACAGGTACGTCCTTGTTAGTAAGGGTTCATCCATTCCCCACATCCAGGTGGCGACGATTGCCGCGAATGGTGATAAGACTATCGGCAGTCTCATTGCTGAGGCCTTTGAGAAGGTGGGCAAAGACGGCACCATCACCGTGTCTGACGGCAAAACCATGGAGCATCAGCTCGAGGTAAGGTGTCGGTCGAATCGTTGAGGCATAGGAGTCTGCTCAGGTTGTCGAAGGCATGCAATTCAACCGTGGTTACATCTCTCCCTATTTTATCACCAATAACAAGACACAATCGGTCGAGTTCGAGAATCCTCTTATTCTGGTGCACGAGAAGAAGATCAGCTCCATTCAGGTAGGACATATGTCCCGTGATGTTGATGATATCAGATTGTTAGTCCATCCTTCCTGTGCTCGAGTATGTGGTGAAACTGCAGCGTCCTCTCCTCATCATTGCTGAAGATGTCGATGGCGAGGCCTTGGCTACTCTCGTTGTCAACAAGCTCCGTGGCGGTCTCAAGGTCTGCGCTGTAAGTCTCGCCCCGATCCGTCAGAGTAGGCTCCGGAGGCTGCCTGTGATTTAGGTCAAGGCCCCCGGTTTCGGCGACAATCGCAAGTCGCAGATGCAGGACATCGCAACTGTCTGCGGCTGTGAGGTTGTCAGTGAGGATACTGGTACCAAGCTCAGCGACGACTTCGACCCGTAAGCTGGACAGCTCCATATCGACGTCCCCGTCATTTCGTTTATATTCAGTGCATTGCTCGGCTCATGCAAGTCTGTGTCGGTCAAGAAGGACGATACCATCATCCTTGATGGAGCAGGCTCTCGAGAGGAAGTCGATGATCGTTGTGAGACTCTGCGTGATGCGATTGAGAACACCAGTAGTGAGTACGAGAAGGATAAGCTGAAGGAGCGTCTTGCCAAAATGAGTGGCGGTGTTGCTGTGATTAAGGTGAGTGAAGATTCCCATGCCGTCGGAGTTATCGAGAGCGTGGTAGGTTGGCGGTTCCTCCGAGGTGGAAGTTTCGGAAGTTAAGGATCGTCTCAATGACGCCCTTAACGCCACTAAGGCCGCTGTTGAGGAGGGTATCGTCCCCGGTGGTGGAGCTGCTCTCTTGAGGTGACCTATTGGGAAGGAAAGTCTAATCGGCTGTGAAGCTCGCTTCTCATCAGAGCCAGCAAGAAGTTGGACGATATGAAGTTGGACAACTTCGACCAGGAGGTCGGCTGCAACATCATCCGCTCTGCGTGTAAGCAGCCGTGCAAGACCATTGTGGAGAACGCTGGTGAGGAGGGTGCCGTCGTGGTGCAGAAGCTCCTCAGTGATGACCACTACCATAAGTAAGTCCTTCTCGACGCACTGGGTCAGTTGACAAGCTTCGTGGTAGGGGATATAATGCACAGACTTCTGAATACGTTGACATGCTACAACAGGGTATTGTTGACCCCACGAAGGTTGTCCGAACTGCCCTGGCTGATGCTGCTAGTATTGCCAGCTTGATGACTACCACCGAGACGGTCATCTGTGATGTAGGAGTTCTCTGCACGACAGTGTGAGGGTATTTTCCATCCTCGTTTTTAGCTTTCCGAGAAGGATAAGTCTTCCTCCGCTCCCGACATGAGCGGTATGGGCGGCATGGGTGGTATGGGCGGTATGATGTAACGCACATGCGCGTAGAATCATTGCTGCAAACGGACTTTAGAGTGCATGGGAATATTTGAGGAGCCTGAGTCATAGTAGAGTGTTTCCGATCCTTATTAGCTGAAGCCTCAGCACGAGATATAGACCATCGTTTCTATGATGACTCCGAGTTGAGTACAGTTGTCGAGTACACGACTGACGAGTTGACGATGAAGTTGCGATCTCGTTGGCCATGCATTTCGTATAAAGCATTCAATTCACTTGTTACTTGCATGAAGTGCGCTTCTCCAGTGTCATGCGTTGGCGCTTGTGGGTAGATGAAAGGTGGAATGGAATGTCCCCATGGTGTTGATGATGGGCGTTGCTTGGACGTTTCTCAGTCGAACAAGTTGATTAAACGCACAACTTGGTCAAATGTGGATCTACTAGATGCGCATTTGACTTAGTTGAGTCGGATACTTTCTAGTATTCCCTCAATGCGATCGTACGGAGATTTGCCGACTTCTGTGTATCCTCTCGAGCGAAGTGGAGTGCCCACCAAGAAAGATTTTGTATTATCATGCGAATGTTCAACGACGCCGTTCGTGTTTTAGCAACGTCAATGCAAGTGGACTACTGCCTCTTGCCAGGCAATTCGTAATGCACCCGCGATTACGGCGTAGATTGATGAGCCTCAGCGGGTTGTGATTAACCGCAAAGAGATCACTCTTTATATCCAACCTCTGTTTAGGTAAATACCATAGAAGAGATGCAGCGTTCCCGAACATGTTATCCAATTTATGACAGAACTACTTCGAGTTAGCTGAGTAACTCAAGTTTCTATTCATGAAAGAAAAAAACCATCATTAATTCAATCTACCGAGACAATTCGGAGCGCCGCATTTACATGCGAGCTTCTCGGACTCAACAGCGAATTGATAATCATAGGTGATTTCCTCCCCGGCGCTGATGTCATTCTTGGCAGCTATCATAATGTGCTTCTTATGAGAGGCCCGAACGACTCCTCTGAAGGAGATGTCATCCTCACTGGCCAAGGGGACGGGGTCCTCCACAACCTAGGAGGCAGGCTAGCACTCTTCCCAATGCACGACGTACCTTGCAAACGCAATTTGGGTTACACGAGTGGTTGATGAACCGGGCAGTGTTCCCCCTGAGGGTGGCATCCACAACATAGTGCTCATCTAAGCGGAACATGTAGCAGCACTGGCCCATGAGCATCTCCTCTTCATAGTAACGTTCTCGACAATCCGCGATCGAGTGCCTGACTTGGGGGATTATCGAAGACCTCCAACGCTATAGGAGGAATTCACCAGCAGAGTATGACCGTCTTGGCCAAACACGATCAATCGTGGAACGATCAGGACAGCTTCATCAACATGCAGACCTCACTTTGCTCACCTGACGATTTCCCCGGCGTATTCCACGACCATGTCGCCCTTAGCAAATCGCACTTTGGCAAACAACCCATAGTTGTGAATCCTTGACCGTTTCACTTCCAGCACTTCATTGTCGTCCGTCTGGGCTCTAATACGGTACAGCGCCGTCAGAGTCGGTGAAGATGAGGAGCCTTCCGGCCAGTGCATCCTCGCTCGTGCGGACTTCATCATTTGGTTGTACTCCCCTGTGGTTTGACTGTTGCTGCCCGTCGAGCTCTCTACAGGGCAGTTGGAAGGGTCCAGAAGGAACTTATAGTGGGCACTCCGTTGCCCAATGAGGAGTGGCGATATTCCGCGTTCCTGTACGCGAACGACGCCAAGTTCTCGCATGTCCGGCTGAACCGGCTGCTCCCAGGAGGACTTCAACTTGAGACTCTCTACTGGCCCACATGAATCACTGCCAGGTCCGAGCAGGCCTGTCAGGAGTTGCGCCCGCGCCCCCGGATGGTCCATCCATAAGGATGCCTGGCGAGAACGAAATTGTTCTTATATCCCACCACTAAGGCGCCCACCTCTTGCATGATCTTCCGTCTCGCGAACGCCTTTCGGACCTCGCGCAGATGGGCCACAACGACCGGCGACATCAGACCGAAGAACCATTGCGGTGTGAAGTCCCTCAAGACTTGCTGACGTCTCTCGGTGGAAAACTGCTCCACTAGCTGCCGCCAGGCAACCTCTATTGAGTCCGCCACGGCTATCACTCCTGGTAGCAATTGTGGATAACTACGAAGTCCATGATGCCTCACCTCCAGTCGCTACCCGAATAGTCACAACACGATCGTCGTCATCGTCGTAGTCGATGGTGCATACATAAGCAGATCGCCTCCGCGTGGGCTCCACCGACCAAAAGAGCCTGTATCCTCCGAGATGAAGTGGCTAAGGAGTGGTATAGCCCACCGAATAACTATAAAACCGTTGGGCTGCTCCAGCTGATGCTTACTGTCTATGGTGCCCATCCGGATCACGCTAAGCCCTCCTGACCGAACCTGATACACCACATGCGGACCCCCAGCGACCCCTGATCAGCTACCGCTGAGTTCGCCGAAACCGGCACCCCGTCATCAATACGGAACCTAGGGACTTGGAAGGGATGCAGCAGCCCTACAGTGGCGAGGGTGCACGCGGGTGGCGACAGGCTCGGCAACACTCTTTGTACGTGCGGTGGTGGTCTGATAGGGGAATTTGAGCTACGCGTTGCCAGGTAGGGAGTGCTCACCCCAAGGCGATCGCCGCGCACTCATCATTGAAGACCTTCTCCTGGTCCGGTGTGAGGATGGGAATCAAAGACACCGCGCAGCGGTGCAATTGCGACAACAACTCGGTGGCGTATGGGAGCTTCTGACCATCAGCAGAGGGAGTAGGGCCGCGGCAGGCCACGATAGCTCCACAATAGACAGCTCCTGAGGGCAGCATCAGCACTGCATCACGGCTCGACTACTGAGGAGGGCGCCTCACGCAAGGCCAAGTCCATCGCTGGGGCGCCATCAGCAGTCAAAAGGCAGGGCAGATGGTAGTGGTTCCGACCACACACACAGGGGACGTATGCCCCGGTACACCGACACAGCGGACAGGTGTGCTTAAAGCTAGCCGCCAGGCTCGTAGGGTAGTCGACGACGTCCACGCGGCTGGACACGTACCTTGAGCCCGCAGGGACAGTGATCGAGCTGAGTGCCAGTCAAAGCAGGCATGCTCACCTGCTCAGTCTAGCATATTGGGGTAGTGCATGGGCCGAGGTGGCCCCCGGCTCAGGCTCCCTTCGAGGGTGCTCCACCGGGGAAGCCGAGAAGTCCGTGGGCAGGAGCTAACACGCATGTTATCGTTTGCTATCAATAACGTTAACTCACCCCTGGGAAGGTGACCGTGAGGCCCTTGATGGTGAACTGTGCACAGAGGGCATGCACCCACTGACCGTCCAACCACGGGATAAGCCGACCCATAGAGAGCGTATCGGAGCGACTTCCACAAAGAGAACATCGCCGCTCACTGAAAGCACACCTCCCAACCCTAGTTATGCCGGACCACTCTCACTCCCAGACGGGTATGGGCACACTGGCTTTCGATATCGCCGTTCCAATGACTGGGTACCGCGCTGGACTCTGTAAGCAGTAGCTGAGGGCACCCAGCTCATCCTAGCGTCGTTACGAAGGCTCCAATGTATCCCTTGTCAACTGAGGTGAGCGTCTTATGAATGATCTTCAGCAAGAGCACAGCAGGATCCCGTCCCTGCTGGAGCCACCACGACCGCTGCACCAATGCCTGACACGCCCAGGCATCCCTGGGCGGCCGACTGACTTGGCTATACCCTACTAGGGGTTCCTCCATCACCGTCTCGGCCCTCACTGGAGAAGGACTCGAGTCGTGCCCAGTATGGTCAGTCGAGGAGTCTTGAGTGTCGATCCACTGTAGAATGTCCCTAGCAGCCAGAAGCCGTTGTGCTATCAACGCATCTTGGGGAGTGGACACTGTTGGCGAGGTCTGAACGAAGGACCCTCAGGGGACTTCCCCAGACAGGAACTGACCTTCCCGGAGACCTTCGTGGCCCTTCTTGGCATGAAGACGTCTTGTCCCATGGTCCGCACAAGCCAGTCCTCACAATCCTCACCGATGACGCTCGGCGTGGTGCCAGCGTTTCCTCCAGAAGTGGCCCCTACAGCGACCGTTACCTTCCTCATAGAGAATTGTGGGCCCACCAGCCAACGCCATAGTCTGCAGCAGAGCAGGCTCCAAGTGCTTCGGGAGCTTCCTCAACAGTCCACTGTTGTGGCGACCAGCCAAGGCATCGAGCATCCGTGAGCGCTCTGCACATGCAGCGTGACGATTCCGAATACTTATCAGCTCCGACGACAGGCTCTTCTAAGAAACGACATAATATATAAGCCGTAGATCATCGCTATCGAATCAAGGATGACGGATGGTCCCTTCCATATATCTACGGCGATTTCAGTATCCGAGGCAGTGGTAGTCGGGGTCTGGTCGTTGCTGGTGTGCCTCCGAGGCAGCTCATCCATCGGCGTATCGGCCAGGCACTGGGCGCAGATATAGTCTGGTATCGATATCATAGTGAGATCTCGGAACTCGGGGATGCATTTACTGTGCCACCTTCCACCACATATAAGGCACAAGCTGAAACAGAGCCAGACAAGAACCTCTACTGCTCGACCTCGTGCGTCACAACTCACATTTTAGAGCTGCAGGTCTTCTTTGAAGCCGTTCCGTCGATGATGGTACCGTTGCACGCTAGGCACCGACGGGAGGCGTTGAAGGACACTTTGTATTGCTCAGCAGCACACTGGTCGCACATGATGAATTTGTCATCCCAGAGCTGAGCGATGTTGGAGTCAATTCGAGAAAAGAGTGGTAGAAGAAGCTCACCCAGTCACCGAGCTTATCAGACGAGGCTGTCTTCTTGACCCAGCGATCTCGGCATTTGCTGTGCCATATGATACCGCACTTCACACACATCATCCTGAGACAGGGCATCCCTGCTGTGTTGCCAACCTGGGCCTACTTGGGGGCTGCGAGCTCAGTAGGATCATTGCTCAGAGACTTGCTGCAAATTTGGGCACAATACGGACAACGGTTACATCCAGGACAGTGATAGCTTTTCTTGTCTGGTAGACCTGCCACCCTCTGAACTGCCAAAGACCCTTCTCGAGCAGAGACTCACTGATGAGACCAGCACAGTAGTAGTGAAGGGCGTCAGAACAACAACAGCACTCGATCATGCTACAGCCGTCCCCGAACGACCCACAGATAGCACAGCATTCAAAGAGAAGCCAACGACCGTGAACAAGTAGGGGATCCTAAGCAGTATGAACATATCAACAATGTGGGGGGGAGTATACTCCAAACCCGGAATCGAATTTTAAACTATCATTGATTAAAAAATATCAAAGATTTCGAGTCTACGGAAAATTTTCCATCGCATAGCCGTTTCGGATTCCTCTCTCCGTTTTGGAGATCATATCACAAAAATCGATCACCCGTGAGTAGGTACTTGCGGGGAGAGGACAGAGGCTTTTCCATAAGTGACCTGCCGTGGCCGAGTGAACACTGTTATGTCTGATCAAGCCGGACCAAGCAGGACCAGGGACGACCGCTCAGGCACTCACCTGTACAGGGAACTATGAAATTGGGCGCGACAAGGGCTCCACAGGGGTATGCCAGTGGGGACGGGGGGACAGACGTAGACAACTGAGATAAGCCGATTGCACTGATGCAACGACCGGTGGTCTCACCAGAGGCACCAGAGCGATCAGGTCCAGTATTCTTGGGTCTGTGATGATGAGGGAGGCTGGAGATATTGAGGGCGACAAGAGTAGTCTAGTCGAACTAGATGGAGCCTTCCTAGGTTTCTTCAGCCGCTGCTTGTAACTAGCATGACAACACATGCGTGCTGACCAAGGGTGGAGACCTACGGAGACGGTCCATCAGTCCCAGGCTTGGTGGTGATCCTTGTGGACCGCCGAGTCCTGGCCGATTTGTCAGATCCCTCAATCGATGCAACGTCGATGGGCAGTGCTGGCGAGGACGGCTGAGGCAAAGACGACACTGGAGCGGCTGACGCCGAATACTCCTCCCCATATAAGAGGCCTATTATTCCAATGTCAACTCTCCAATAAGAGTCTATACCAGTGTTGGAACATGTGCTTGATTTCCTCAGCTGAACTCTTACATATAAGTTCAGAAAAAAAGTGCACGTAAACCAACATATACATAAATTCCGAGAATTTCCTCACCACCACACGTAGTTGACCATGGGCATATTTCTTCACACTACTCTATACCCTCTGGGAAAGTTGACATACCCCTAGGGTCCACGAAGAGGCCCCTCGAGGCTTACTGATTCATTGACGATCTTGGCCACCCCAGCTGCTCCCGCTACTTTCAAGAGATACCGCTCCAAGACAAGTTTACCGTTCTTTTCGAATTGCTCGGCAATCTTGTAGGTCTGCGTGTTAGGCATGTTGAAGAGCTTAGCATTAGCGATGATTTGATCGAAATCATCCACGAAGTCCTGGACCGACGGGTACCTGCCAGCCTCCGCTAGTCGAGACAGTAGATTTCCGAGCGCACATGTGAGCCTCCGCTTTTTGCCTCATCTTACGGAGATTCATAGGCTTCTTTACTACCCTCAAATACAGCGGAGCGAAGGCTGCATTCACGGGCTCGCTGAACAGATGTGACTTGTCGAGAGCCTGTCAAATGGCGACAGCCATCAAGTAGAATTGCACGTTCCTCGACTGCTTACTTTAAGTAGATCTAGTGCTCTTATGTACTTGGATTTTGAAGTGCTATCTCGGCAGATGGGACAGAAGTATCTAAAGGGCCATTCAAAAGGCCCACGGCCTCCTCTTGGTGTTACTTCACGTCCTTGTCAGTGAGCTCTGTGAACTGCTCTTTGCAAGTGAAGTTATCACATTTGGCATGTACCCAGAACTCACAGCCGTCACACTGCACCATATCGTCACACCATACAGTGGACCATGCACGCAGACACACGGGACAGTATCTACAGCTCTTGGATGGAAGATGGTACTGATGATGCCAGCACCCACTCGTTGGCATCAAAGCCAGCCCAGCAGGCCCGACATGTGTCAAAAGTGATGCTCCAAAGATTCGTGCCGTTGGAAGTAGGCTCCTGTGCTGTCGGCTCCCAGTAGGTCAGTCGACCGCAGCTGTTACCTGTTACACGAACCTTTGTAGTATGTCGGAGTAAATCCAACATTTCCGAGATTCCTTTCAGCCCGACACAATGTTAGCAGAGACTGCTAGATGAGTGTCAACAAAGATGTAACTATGTACGAGCACACAAGCCAGCGAATGAATCCATCAAGCATGCGAATACGGGGACTCGCTGGACCTTAGGATGGCTGCGAAGTCACTGAACTGCTCACATTGTCGACAGTCCTCACACCTCCACGTGGTCCCCGGCAAGAGACTAGGCGCTACTATAGGAAAGCAGCATGTGCCGTGAGCGCTCATGTTACACCCATGGCAAACGACCGCCAACTGATAAGCGAGGGCATACACCGATTCACTGCCCTCGCCTACTTCCAGACAGCCGAAGAGCTTAACCAAGGACAGTTTGTCCCAGTTGGTCGGGTATGTCCCAAGGGGCTCGCAGCAGTATCTAGTCCCCACAGTGAGGACCACAACTGAGCCAATACGCTTACTGGCAGAGCCTGCAGTCGGGACAGAGGAAATCCTGGGGTTGGCGAGACCGACGTTGTGAGCAGGATGATGGTTCGGCTACTGGCCTCTCTAGTTTAGGTCTGATCACCAAAGAGCCATACCACTCCTTCCTCAACTCATCCGAACGCCTAGGATAAGACCCTCTACTTGGAAAAGGCGTGCAGGTCATGGCAACCCTTTGGCAGTAGCTCGGGCACTGCTGTGGCCACTCCTTGCAGATACCTGACCAACACCCTCCTCCGAGCATTGAGATGCCCCCCTTTACATGTCTAGATTCCTAAACTGCAGCCCTTCGTCCATCCCGTCGGGTGGGAGGAGCTTCTCATGCGGCAGTAGACAGTCGCCATGAAAGACACTTCGGCAATTACAGCACTGCAATGGCTGGACGGACTCCTCGTCCTTGCTGTCCGCTTGCTCCTCCGGTTCAGTTTTGATCTGTTCCCCGATTCCAGTCGATGCCAATCCTCCCAAGGGCGGGTAGTCTTCATCGGAGTCCTTCATGAGCGTGTCACCAGTACCCAGAGCGCTGTGGAATCTCCGTAAGGCTTGCTGACGGTCGTCATCTTCTTCTGGGGTCGGACAAGACCGTGGGGACTGAGGTTAGGGCGAGGGTGTGGTATGCAGCGCAGTAGCCGAACGAGTGACAAACTATTCATTTCTGAAGCTTACTACCCCCTTGAGCTCTGAAGAGTTCGGGTGCCCACTCCCCTGGCAGCATGCATCTCTGGCCCATCGTATACTCCCTTTCGGCACTTGATACCCACATATGCTACAAGCATACCAACTCTTTTCCTTCTCGCCAGGCGAGCTTGGAGGTTTCCGCTGATGCAGCTCATCGGGACGCTCCCACACCTTCAAATCTGATAGTACCTGTCCAAGGTGAGAAAGATACCTTGGACAGCGTCGATCCGTATATATTCCCTGTGTGTGGTTTCGAGCACTCCAGGATCATCACCAACAATACTCCTCACACTGGCTGTCAGTGTCGGAAATATATGTTCACTCTCCTCAGACGAGCACAGAAGTTTCCTCGCTAATTACACAAGTTTACATACGAATTCGAATAGGAGTGTACGGAAACCAACAAAAAGCCTCCAAAACTTCCTCAGAATTTTCACATTGTCACCAACACATGCAGTGCACCAAAGTTTCCGCACTACATAGATTTGCATATCCTCAGGGTCCAGCCAATGCCTGTCAGTAGCGCTCCTCGACAGCTGAATATCCCCATGAGTGAGTGAGATGGCCAGTGACTCCGCGAGCTCCTTGGCGTCCCGTAACGAGGGGAGCTTCAATGGTCGTAGAGCCTCCAGCTCGGGAGCACTCGCATCGATGAATTGAATATAGTACCTAAAACGACCTCCTACACGACCAGTGGTCGTCGCACACTGAGCAAAACCCCGGAGGTCCATAGACTACCAAGGCAGATTGCGTGAAGACTGGGAGCCGCTCGAGCAGACGAAAGACTTCAGTATTACCTTCTCCATTTCACAGTGAAGTACTTGACCACTCCAATACGATAAGAGGACCCCTCAACATTGCTGCTCTCCTTGGGTTGATCCTTCATCACTACACCCCATCCTACCGCTCCGAACTGATCGGTGACCCTCAGACGCCGGAGATTGCAGGCTGGCATGTGTGAGTCAAGACAACCACCTCACGCTGAGGTCCTCAATCTATATACAGTACGCGCCACCTAGGAACGCGCGAACTGGGCGGGCACTTTTTCCTTTCATTTTGATGAATTTCGACCTAATTCTTTCACCGTTGATGTATAGAAAGCCTATATAAGCCTATGTAATACATATATAGATAAATGAATATGTAAATGTCCCCTCACTGGACATCCCCCAGTCCCTTCCTCATCTGGAACGATGGGAGGTCTAGTCCCAGGACTTTGCAGCATATCCCTACCTAATGGCTAGTGTGCATGACCAATCATACCGCATCCAGTCATCCTCCCATTATACTTCACCACATTTTGACTATGCCAACCCAACACGATGATGACAATAAAATAATAAAAAAATCACACAAGGTCACCAACGTGTAGATCAGGAGCTTATCATAGCCTGCTCGTAGCCTTCTTATACTGTCTATCAGCCTGCCTTATACCGAGGTCCAGCAAGATCTCCTCCGAACCACCAGGAATGGCCAAGCCACGCACATCCCGATAGAGTCGTTCCACAACCTCACCAAGCCCACTCCTCGTATAGGCATTACCACCGAAGATCTGAGCCGCCTCCCGAGCACAGTACTCAAACACCTGATGAAAGAACCTATCCAAAAGGGCACAAGGACCTTCCCCTCACCTTAGTGCTGTGGGCCTTCATCAGAGCTATAGTGCCTCCCAACGCATCCATGCTCTCCACCCACGGCATAGTCGACATCTGGTGAGTGACGCTTTCAAGCCAGTGGCTCGTCCCTTCGATCTGTCTGGACATCTCTGCCAACTTCCATCGAATGACCGGGTGCTCCATGAGGGTCTTGCCAAAGGTCTTTCTCTTCTGAGCATACTTGAATGAAAGCTCATAGAGAATTCTTGAAAACCGCAGCGCTTGAATGATAAGTCCCCAGCGCTCATGGTTGAAGTTATACATGATCACCTTAAAACCATCATTATCCTTGCCGATGAGATTCTCCACCGGGACTTTCACATCATCGAGTTCAACGAAGGTAGTGCCACTAGATAGCACACCTTGGCAGTCCATTCTGGTGGTCCTAAGGCCGGGCATGCCCCTCTCCACCAACAGCATAGATATGCCCTTCATGCCCGGGCCCCCAGTTCTGACAGCAACCGAGAAGTAGTCGGAGAATATGCCGTTTGTGATCCACTTTTTCTGGCCGTTAACAATGTAATGCTTCCCATCAGGGGTCAGCTTAGCAGTAGTCCTAATACTGGCCACATCACTCCCAGCATGGGGCTCCGTGATACACAAACATATGTTCTTTTCTCCTCGGACACATGGAGGAGCGACTCGAGCCTTCATCTCAGGGGTCCCGAAGTTCAAGACAGTAGGCAGGCCTATGTTGAGGCCGCCCATCATTCCCCACATGACGCCACCAGAGCCGCACCTACAAAGCTCATCGATGAAGATGAGCTCATGGAAGTAGTCGAAGCCTTGTGGCTTGGCAGCAACAACAGGATCAGCGTAGTCGTAACCCTTAGGGCCGACCAAACTGGGCAGGAGGCCAGCCCTGTAGCACTTTGCGTAGATCTCCATGGGAATGGCCTTCTCCTTCTCCCACTCACTGACGTTGGGCATGACCTCGTCCTCTACGAACTTGCGGCACCTGGCCCGCCATTCAACGTGGGACTGTGAGTAGTAGGGGCTGCTGTGGCCCTTGCTGTACCAGCTAGGCTCCGCATACGGGACTGGAGATCCGAAGGTCTCCTTCGCAATAACGGGCATTGATTACGTATCAACTGGGCTACATTCCCATGCTCATTCCAGTGACACTCCTATGAGGCACATAATGGAGACGCCTCGGACGAGCGTCTCAAGGTTACGGAAAAGGCGTGATCACAAGGCCACACTCTGTCGTTTTTGTGGGAACGTTCAGATTGACTGGACAGATTCTACTGGAAGATTTGTAGCAGTAGAAAATACTATCGAACCACTTACTACACCATGAAGACCCCACCCCAAAAAGACGGATGAAAACCAATCTTGCGCGTCTACAAGCAGCGTTGTAGAGTTTCAAGGTCACCTAAGCGAGCAAGTTGCCCCATCTCCCGGGCGTTCCGGTAGAGGCGCAATGTCCAGACCTGATCACTAAATTCACATCACTATCAGATAGCCTATCACTCTTTACGCTTGCCATTCCCCACACTTCGTCAGTTTCCAGGTGCTTAGTGAACTCATTCTGGAACACCATTCTGGAATTGCTATTTACACGTAATATGAGGTTCCAAATAGATCCTAGGATAAAGTGCTACTAAACTGAACGACCCCTTCCTTCTCCGGCCAACATTCCCCACACTTTGGGACTTTATGGAGGTCATGGTCGATGAATGAGAGCTGTTCCCCACTGGTGATTGTAAGTATTGCAATAGGGCCTACTCAGAACTTCTGAGTCTGAAGACCTTATAAGCGAATCATATAAGCATTATTGCCAATGAGCCTGGGGAAGAATCATTCTCTCAAGTGCATGAGCTGTTCAAACTGGAGTCTCACCTCAACTTTGGATTGGCTTGTTCCACGCCCATAACATCTGAATATCCACATACATACATTGTTAGGCTCAAAGTGTGCAGAACGTCGTCGAGAGGGCGATCTTGCCGGAGACAGAGAACAAGTTGTTAGCTTGAAGCTGAGGCAGATATCGCATTTGATTGAATACGTGAAAGCACCTCACTGCACTCATTCGCATATAATGTTCATTTCACTACTTACGGCTCGCTGAGGTGGTCCCTAATACGAGTATTACGAGGTCCAGGCATCGTAATACTTTTATTACTGAGGAACCCTCACTGAGGATTCCTCAGTAATATCTCCTTTGGGGGTTAGATCCGTGATTCGCGAGCAGCGAAATAGAGAGTGAAATAATGTATCCGATGGCACACATCGTATATGAACTGATCACTGATGAGCGATTGAAACTTCCGGACTGAGGACGATTTTCTCACTTTTTCGGCAGCAGGTCTATCTTGGATTTCCCCATAAAAGGCTTGTGGATTTCATGTTGGGACTATTATCTTTTCGCATTAGAGAAACCCGCGCGCCACTGCCAACGCGAAACGTGAGAGACCGTGCATGATCAAACTCTTTATTAAACCCTAAGAAGATGCGCCTTCTCGATGAATTCGTCGCGGTTCTTCGAGACTTCGGCAAGGTGCCTCAACAACAGCTGCTTGATAACCTTGTCGGTAACTGTCGACAATCCTGATGCACGGGCTTCGGCTGACATTACGACGTCTTCAGGGAAACCTGATAGCGCGGAACTCCAAGTTGGAGTCCACACAGAGGAAGGGGCCTCCCTCACCGGCCAGCCTCGCGACGTTCATGCCGTAGCTCTGCGTTGTAGGGCCTGGGCGAATAGAGTAGAGGAAAGTTATCTTGCCAGTATGCTCATCAACAGCTGCAGCTACATGGGCATTTGAGACTACACCATCAGGAAACGTGGACTGAGATAAAATCCCGAAATCTGCACCCCAAAACATAGACCTGACTCACGGCAAGTGTAGCCAGCTCATGGAAGTGCGTCGCGAAGAGCACAAAGGACTTAGACTCAGCGGCAATATACCTAATAGGACTCGTTATGATTCACTCAAGGGCGCGATCGCGACTCACTTAGTGATATGCCAGGCTAACCCAAAGCCATCCTCAGTGCTTGTTCCTCGGCCAAGCTCGTCTATGATCACCAGACTGTATTCATCCGCGCTTTGAATCTGCGAGCACCATCCCCCTCCACTGCATACCGTGCGCTCATGTTATACTATGGAAGCAGCATCCAGCATCTCTGCCATGAATGTAGACACACCGCGTATCTGATAGTCTGACGCTCCCACTCGACACATTATCGATCGAAAGATGCCCAGCCGAGCCTAAGGAAACTCAAGCTCTTCCGAAAGCAACTCATTCTCGAACTCACCCTCTGGGCAGGCACGAAGGACCCTATCTGATTGAGGAACACACAGAGAGCTGCCGTCCGAATGTAGGTGCTCTTGCCGCCCATGTTGGGACCAGTGATGACCATAACTCTGCCATCATTTCCATTCATGTGACCCGTACCCTCTCTCTGCATTTTAACGTCATTCGGGACGAACCTGTCTCCACAAAAGGCGATCTGTGTTCTACCGTGCACAGCGATTCTCGGGACAAGCCATGAGACGCACCGAGAATATACGAAATCAGAATAATACTCAACTGCGCTTCATTCCAAGGGACGTTTTCTCACTTTTTAGAGTACTCGCATATCGGAGGGATTCTAACACCTCGTCGAACAGTCGCAGTAGTACGTTAGGAACTCTGCAGTAGATAACTCTCTTCCCATAGCACCACGTCAAATAATCAATCAGGAACCGTTATTATATATATTCTCCTCGTATTGCAGTACGTTCCTACTTACTCTCCCATAGCGTCGTCCATTTTGATATCGCCGTTTATTCTCGCCTCCTCCACTAGAACATGCCTCGCGCCCTCAATGTCAATGCACACCGGAGGAGTTGCATCGTCAATCTCCGCTCGAACCATGCGATGAGTCAGAGCGCAGCAGGCGAAGGAGCACTGAGCGAGCCAATTCTTAGAGGATACGCAAGGCAAGTGTGAACTGCTTACTAGGACATCTAGGGACGCCAGAACATCAGCCAGTCGAGCTACTGCTGGGTGATAGGTCGCCGCTACCTCAACTGTGCGCTTCTGAATATCACGTGCGGCTTCGTTATACCTATCGCGCACCAATTACTCGGGTGCGATAGTCGATATTACTATACTATAGTCTGTTTTTCGATACATTAACTGTATAATACTATAATGACTATGTAGAGATGTATAGACTGTATAGTACGATAGTTCTATTACAGTGCCAGCCAATTATATATACTCCATTAGAATGAATCCCTATCGAATGCTGATGAACACAATTGTAGTAGGCTATTCAAGTTCTCAGTATCCATCACGAGAGCACAGGCATCTCCCGTTTAGCATACCGGCTCTGGGCGTCCATGAATCGTGAGACGGCAAGCTCCAGTGGTCCACATGTGAACAGGAACTCTGCCTTGTTGATTTGCACCTTCTTGTACCTGCATCGAGTATCGCCCTGCCCTTTGAGACGTTTATCCTACGCTCTTGTTTTCTCCACACTAGCCTGTTGTTTCTTAGGAACCCTCAGACACCAATAGTGCGGCGCAGCAGCCTACAAGGACCATCCCATCACAAAACCTCTCCACGAAGTTGATGCCACCTCAGCTAGCCTCGCTTCCGTCTTAATTTTCCTCGACACTTCCTGTTTGATGACCTCCATTTCCTCCCGTGCGGCATCCCTATGACCCGCCAGCTCCTCCAGTTGAGGCGTTATCCCACCTGATACGACCACATCCAACCACGAAGGAGAAACGCCTGTCCACTTCGAATTCTGAACTCCCTGTCTCTAGCGATCGCTTCGAAGTCGACGCACTTCTCCATGAGGTCCATGAAGCGATCACAGCTATGAACACAAGCATTCATGGGCTTTACAAATTGCTGAGAATAAATAGAAACTCACAAGACAGAAACTACCGCGTCCAATTACTTCCTCTACGGCCTCCTGGGCCTCAGGGGTAGGCGCAGGCGTGTTCTGAATCTCAAAAGCGATATCTTGAGCACTCGCAAGACATTCATACCTACGAATGATGAGGAGACAATACAGTAGCAGTAGGCGAACCCTACAGTCGGACGAGCTCTTCGAGGGATATTTTCTCATGACCCCATCCTTGTCTGGAGGCCACTTGCACCATCTTCATGCGGAGCCGATCGAGATCAGGAATTGTCTTGAGATGGCGCCGTAGAAGGGAGTTCCTCAAGGCGTCACAATGGAGGAGATACCCAACCTGAGAGAACAAGGACAAGATCTTCTCATGAATTTCCACAGGAGTGGTATGTATTTACAATATCGTGTCGCTTGCGGATTTCCTTTATTTCCACTAGAGGATTCCTCGCCCACTGTAAGATCCTTCGCTGCCCACCTTTGCTCCTTATAGAGGCTCCTACCATAAATGCCATACCTTCCCACCAACGCGGCTTGCATACCTAATAGGCCCACGAGGGACTTTCCAGACTGTCCAACTCCGCTTGTGGTAGATGGGAGTACATGCAGCGCTGTAAGAGCTGCCTGAGGGAATCACAACGCCCTAATGCGTTCGGGTTCTGTTGTGCTGGTTAATCCATCCCCAATGCTAACATATATATATTTCCCTATAGCTTATAGCTATAGGGAAATAAAAAAATATTCGGATTATTTACGAAAAAAAAATTAATGAAAATTTTCCAAAATTATTTTCGTCCATTAAAATTATTAATTACGGTACGTTATCAAATACCGCGGTATTAAATGAGATAATACTATAATAATGAACGCCCATTACAGGTCTACAAATTCCACATCACAGTGCGAAGAGATCACCTGATCTAGCCTCAGGAAAGCATCGCACTTCAGCTGACTCAAGGAGCATTTCCTATAGAAGGAGGATTCACAGGCGAGCTTGAGAGCTGAAGCCAAAGTCATCATGGCCAGCGAGGCGAGGTCTTGCTTGTCGACCTGAGAACAATCCACAATGTTAGTGCCGTTGATCTGTCTAAGCAACCCATACTGGTAGCTTCCGGGCCTCATCCTCCGAGAGAAGGCTTTCAATAGAGAAGTCCTTGACCATCTTCGTCCCTGAGACCTTCACGTTTGGAACGCAGCGCTCTAACAACTCGAGGACCTGAGAACGTCAAGGGAGCTCAAATACCCGCGAGCATCAATATGGTTTCACCTTTTCCGTGACGCTCTGGCTGTCATTATCATAGGCGCTTACGAAGACACGCTCGTCTGGCCCAGCCTACAGCAACCACGAAAGGTCAGGGCGAGCTATGCATATCCTACCATACCCCATGCACAGCAACCAGCGAAAATTTCACTAAAATGATCACAGAAGATTATCTATTCAATCGATCGGCATCATCAACCGCCAATTTCGGGTCTCTATGACCGTACATGTCCGCAGGGCAGTAAACTCATAGCACCAATTCCAATCCCCCACAACGTGCCTGGATGACTGCCGCTTCCAACAGGGCCAAGTTCCTCCCACCCCCACTAGCAGGCTCCACAAACGCTGTTGAGGCCACCACCTAGGAACAGATGCGAGGGGCTTGAGGAGGTGCAGACTCACTAAGGAAAGGCTATCGAAAGTGGCCAACCCTAAAGAGGTTCCCTCAGCGCCATCCTTCACCACAACGCACAGCGACTTGCACGGCGTTCTCATTCCTTGATCCTGGTCCGCATCAGGCCGACCAACAACGGACATTACTCTCAACAAGCAGGTTCTCTTACTACTATTGAACACCCCTAGGCTCCGATCCCTCCCAGGGTATCAATACTGTAGGACCTGCTACTAATTGAAAGAGCTCAAGATCCTGCTGCGAGGCAATGAAACTACGAGTAGATATTAGACATACGTTCAAGGCAAGACTACCCTTCCATTGAGGGAGCTTTAAGACTGTAAAAACTCGAGCCGCTTGGGAAGACTCCAGAGCGGTGACGGCTCGTAAATTACGAGTCGTAATCCACATCGTATTCTTCGCCACAACGAACCTCACAAACCACAGGTGCATCGGACGGCACTGGCGTTGTCAAATCTGCCGAGGAGGGGAGGGGACACCTTGCGCATCCGAGTTACCACGGGAAAGGCCATTGCCACTACTTGCAGTAACTCAACGCTCTCGTGACCGGCCTCGGCAATCCATACGATCATCAGCCTGGTGGTGACACTAGCTGCAACTGCGAGCAGATCACTCGGAAGGTCGCCCTTACTAACAGGCGCGAAGTCCAGCGCTGCAACTCTCAGCCCCCCCGGGGCAGGGACAATACCGAGTAGATCCACAAGGAAAGGACCTTGGCCCTGGCGGACTTGGGAGAAGGGGGGTAGGACTTCGTCCACCTTCACCTCAGAACCGCCGTCACTGACAGCTAGCCTTTGACCTGTCCCTGTCCCTGGCCACGAGGCACACGGCAGATCAACACTAAAGTTGAAAACCTTGGGTAGGGCCGGTGTACGTTACTAATTGATCATTGATCACACTTCCACCAACAACAATAGCTGATGCAACAACATTAATATGATATACTTCTCTTGCTACACATTAAGCTAGTAATTCGAAAGGGAATATAATAAGCTAACCAAGGACCTCTGTAATTATAAAATCAGCAATAAAGGCATATGGTGGTTACGGTTTCTTCCCTTGAATAAGAATATATTTGAGTTCCACCCGTGATATGGAAAACACTAGTGAAAATTCATAACTCACGACTACTGCGAATATCAGGTTCTTCACAGAGTATTACGCCACTCCACGTAAAACGGGTTAAACTCCATTAAATATTCTATCAGCTTTTCATTCATTGAGAACCATACACCATCGTAGGCCATATTCGTGAACAACCCATGAAATTGAGCTCTAATAAAGTAGTACTGATAAACCAAGCTACCTTTACAGCGGAGAAATGAACCAAGTATCACCGTGAGCATTCCTCATGATACAATGACGATCATCATAAAAAGGGGCATGACTCGCTACAGCATTTTCTTTCAAATGTTGCCGCATTCGATAATGCTCTTTTCGAACGCAACCCATACAAAGAGTGATGACGCGAGATGCTTAGGTGATGACAGAACGAGCTGTAGTGATATTATTGTGCATGATTCGTTAGTAGACAATTGTAATGATACCGGAGGGGCCGAGCTGAGTCGGTGGCCGTCTTAGGAAGATGACGTGGCCACACGGACTGACTTCTGGATGTACTAGATAATCTCCCTCAGACCTGTCATAGTTTAAAGTGGATAATAAATTCATACGATGAGTTTTAGCATCCAATGATAACAATAACAATTGCCCCGAGCAGCAAGAGACGTCAACCGGAACTGTTTTTTCTTCAGGAGAAAGTTCAGTTTGCGTTTCAACGAAAATAGTATCATCAGTGAGGAAAGTGACCGAAACCAGATTGTCAGCCTCAAACGGAGCCTCGAACTTTGTCGCCTCGCAGAGAGATCCCTGCTCATCAACTACGATAAACTCATTCACAGCATCGCGACGACTATTGTATATAATTAGATAGTGGTCGGTGCCCATCTCAAAAACGTCAAACACGTGGGCTTGAGTATCCGTTGTGAAGATCAGCTCAGATTCTTTGGTCCACGGATCGAGCCGATGAATCTTCAAATCCCAAAAACCAACGAAACCGTAGTAGAGCAATCCGTGATGATGGACCAAGGTCCAGAAGATGGCGGGTTCGTCGTTAACGGGTGGATGGGTTATGGTTATAGGTTTACTTAGGGAGGGAGCGTGCAGCAGTGCATTCACGCAATCGTCCTGCTCAATCATATCAATGATGGAGTGTCTACTGATATCTAAAGCTTTATTGAAGGCCATGTTACGATACCACCAGCTGTTGGGGCTACATGCCTTGCATCTTGCGCCACCATCAGAGAGGATAACTCGTGGACGACTCTCACACAAGTACGAACCTATTGCGGCCACAAGCTCAAACGGTAGCCGCTTAGACTTTGTATGCTGGGTCGCAGCAGACAGCTGAAGGGCCACTCTCTCGGCTAGAGCTGACATTCTTATGTTCATTTTAGTTCGGTCAACAGAAAAACAATAAACTTGTTTTATTCATGCAAATTTAGCGGAGCGTTACGGTAGTGAAATCACCTCTGTAACGAGAGAGTATGCAAAACTGGCACACACGGCGCAGAGCACACGATCTGCAGGTCCATACGCACACATGCGTGCAAGATGCGTGTGCGCCAATCACATGGAACTTAACCTGTCAATCCCTTGGTTCCATGTGGAGTAGCAATACACCCCTGGCCTGGTGTGCTTTAACCACACCCACCCGACCCTGCGGAAATGCGCTGGGCCCGTATCGGTGTGCAACAAGTAGAACACAGGTCACACCATGCCGTGCTTGTCACATATGACCTTTGCCGCATTCGCAGGTCATGGATTCCCCGATCACGACTCCAGACACTGTCAAGACATGTGTGCACTCACGTGTGACACGTGACGCGTCATGCGGAGTCCGCATTGCGGACTCGCTACGTTTCGCGATATGGAACGTCTAAGGCGCTGCATGTCCTCCGCATCCTTGATCATGTGTGGTGTGGCATAGGACGGGTTAGACTTCTAAGTGTAATGGTACACGCATTGGATCGTATCGCTGCTATGGAATAGTATTATAGGATTGTTTATGGTAGCTTACTTGAACGAATCCATGTTCGGCCGCCTTCGCCAGCTCATACTCGTCGGTCTTGCCCTATCCCGCGATTCCGATGGTAAATATCAAATGTTCGAGGCTAGACCTTATATGGCTCTGCAGTATGTATTCTCACACCATGCCCAAGCAGTATAGATTAGTTTCTTCTGTGGGTTTGGTATGAGACCAACCAAGGAGATCTTTTCTGTCAATAAGGAGTCTGATCAGCTCTACAGAATACCTACCACGGAACCGGGGACCTGGATCCCAGATCCTAAATGGGAGGTCTTCAAGGAAGCCTTTGGTGTCAAATGTCCGGACTATGGTCCAGAGCTGCAGCCAGGTGACTTCAGCAAGATAGAGTACAATAGTATGAATGACCACGTGTTTGTTGATGTGGCGGGTGGGAAGCGGGAGTTATTACACACATTGTAGTTGATATTTTTCGTCGGTAGAACTCTCAGCGTACCAGTCGCTTTGGCTACCACTATTCAGATGTTCGTTGGTCGTTCGATTTACTATTATTATGCGGGTATGTCGAGTAACTCTGGGCGCTTCATCTCCAATTCTGCAAGCATTTTCGGGCAATACGGTAACGTCGACTCCTCGAGTGTTGTAGTACTCGTAGTGATTTTATTGACTTTTCATGAATATCATTGACGATTCGCAGCTCAGCCATGTGTACCATTTCTCTGTCGCTTCTGCTTCCGTTACGAAAGTTCTGTGGTAAGTATAACCTACTGGTAAACGGATCAATAATCTTTTCGACGCTTTACCTTATTCCCTGTACGTCTGTGTGATACCATTATAGGCAACCCCAAGTCTTCTACATCTCCTTGTATTGATTCTATCGAGAGGAGGATAATGTCTTCAGGTCATCAGCTGAGTGGTCATCGTCTCTCATTGTGAGTACAATAGACAATTCTTGCATTCGTACCCCATTCGGCGCTGTACGCAGAAACACATTTCCCTCTTCGCCTTACCACCGGTACGGTTGTTTATGTACTCTACCTCCTTTCTTAGCCCTTGGAATCGCCTTGTATTACAGCAGTCAGGGGACAGCTTCTATCGGAATCTGAAATCCTCCTGAACATGAAATCGGGCTTCTACCTCGCCATATTCACTGAGACCTTCGATAAACACAAAGGTGAAAATGAGCGTAAGGACATTCCGTTACCGCCTTCCTACTGCACCAGTTTGTTGATCACAATGTTGAAGCACCATCGTGAAGCTACTCGTGGTATCCGCCATCGGCGGCAACAACGCTGGGACAACAGGGCTGAAAAGGAATTCAGTGCATTAGATGCGTGGGTGACGATCTCAAATGCCGAGGGAAGGCCCTGAGGCTCCCGGCGGGAGATTCCCGCTCTTCTAATTTCACGCCTGGTATCCATCCTCGGATAGAGCTCAAACCACAGACTTCAGCTGGAGAGTATGTGGGTACAACCGATGAATCTCTCGAAATATTGTGGACCACAACGGCAATGCCAGCGCGTACGCCCAATAACGGCTTTTATCTAACAACAGATGATACCTTACCTTCTGAAAACAAGGGATATCTCAAAGGCGGACGATGAAAGTTTCAATTTTTTCTTAGTCTAGTCTTGCGATTGATCTCGAACTGAGGAGCCAACAAATGAACGGGCGCTGAGAGTCTCAGCGAAAAGTCTCAGCCTGAGACTTTCCATATATCAACGTTGCGTTTTCTTAACGATATAGTATTGTTGATATTAGTATCCGGTGTGAGGATAATCCGCGATCGGACACTGCCTCCCCGTATACTAGACAATAAGACTACTAACCTGAGACTAGTGGTAAGGCTGAACGTAGACTGATTCGCAATCTCACGCACACTTGGAAACCCAGCCTTCGCTGAGTGGCGGCTCGGTTCTCCAATCCAACACTCTCGAGTCGTCGTTGTTGTCTGTGCCTATTGATCTCTTGAGATCTTGAAGTCTTGCTGTTCTTAGTAGTAGAATAGCTATTTTGTTCATTGGCTGTGGCACAAAGTTATTTCCTTATTTCGGTGTACTTGATACGAGTCCTATCCGATCTTGCACCTACCCTATCTTGGCTATACTTGTGTTATCTCAATACCCTTGGTTGGAATAGATCAACAATCATCCGAGAACTGTAACTGGTGATGGTTAAGAAGAAATCCCCCAACTCTAAGAAGAAAGAGGAAGAGGAGGTCGACTCTGATGAGCATACAGAACAGCACCACCGACCAAGAAGCTCTATACTGCGGGAATGTCGGAAGGAGGCAAGGGCCGAACTTGAAGCGGCTAAGCACCCACATTGGAACCCTTCGGAGAAGGGGCCGTCTATCATGGAGCATTTTATGTCTACTGAACGGCTTATGGGCCAACTTGCTATCGGTATCACGACTCCAACGGCTTACTATATGCTCCTATATTCATTAAGTGCTAAAGTTCGGGATGCCTTACCACCTTGCGATTTGAATCAAGGCCGATTTGAAGATCTATACAACAGCTTGAAGCTCCAACTCCGACATCAGTACTACGATCCGGGTGACATCATCAAGCTCAGGGCTGAGTTTAACAGCTTGAAACAGAAGTCAGGGGAGTTGGTCTCTGATCATTTGTATACAGTGGATCAATATGCTAGTCGACTGAGGTTACAAGGAGATGTTGTGACTGATGACCAATTATATGATCTTCTATGTAATAGTCTAATGGCTCCGTATAATGACTGGATTCTGGCTTATCGGTTACAGAATGTGGCTTATGAACATGCTCGTATGATGGTCCTCAGTCGGAGTCGTTCTCTTAATAAGCAGCAGACTCAGAGTGTGGAGAAGACATTGCCCACGCTGCTGAGGTCACCAGTGACAGAGGTTCACATGGCAAAGACTGTGGATACCTATCCGCAGGATGAAGAGATGACTCAAATGTTGGCCTTACCATCTCAATCTGTGAAGCCTTATATAGATTTTGATAGACTACGAAGGGAAGCTCGATGCCTAAGATGCTTCGAGAAAGGCCATGCGGCCAAATCATGTCCAGCTCAGTTACCTGGTATGTTGGAATGTCGGTGTTTATGCTGTGGTCGCACAGGACATGTGGGGAAGAATTGTCGACTAGCTGCGAAGAACAAGCAACTCACATGTCAACGGTGTGGTGGATTACATCATGTACCAGCAGTGTGTAGAGGAAGGATCTTATCGAGTCCTTCTCAAGAATCTCAGCAGAAGGAGGCCACTCCTACGACTTATGAGAGTAAGCCAGGAGGTGAGGGTACTTCTACGACCAATGCGTACTCTCTCCTTCCTGCGACTGATGTTACCTGGCTTGCTCACTCTTCGGCCTCAACTGCGGCTCGTGTATCACCCTTGACAGCTGGTATGATGGTGCACTCTCGTTCTTCTAATTCCAAACCTCAAGAACATCGAGTTCTCTTGGATACGGGGGCAGCAAGGTCCTTCGTAGCAGAAGCTTGGGTGAGAGATCATCCTGGCTACATACATGATACAAGAGGAGAGAAGGTGGAGGTTATGATGGCTGATTGTCGCAAGTTTACCTCTAATACTGCTGTGTTATTGCATTTTTCTCCTCCTGGCAAGTCAGATGTGATCCCAGTTTGGTGTCTTGTGAGTCCGATTCTCTCTACCTCTGTGATATTAGGTATGGCAGGCCTACGTTGTATGAATCTAGTATTGTATCTGTCGCCTGATTCGATACTTCTTAAATCCGGTGTTGCTGACTCCGCTGTTCGTTCTATCGGTTTGACTGATGATAAGCAGTCTCAAGAAGCTGGGATTCAGACTCATGCTGCTGCTGATGCCACTATAATTGCTAACAGCGTTTCTTATTTGCACCCGGCTTCGGAGTCTCAATTCGGGGATACAGAGGAAATGGGTCTGAATTTCATGATGTTGTGCGAGCCTGAGGAGCCTCAATCCGAGTTGCATATGATACTGTCTAGTGAGGTTTCCTCAAGGTTCGAAGAATTCTGTGGACCCACTCTTCTGGCCTCGGATACTGAGCCTGAAGTTTCCTCAGTTGATATTGTTGATGAGGATGTCGAGGGTTGCAATAAGACTCGTTATGTAGGACTTGTCAAAGATAACCATATTGATTTAGAAGGTCGTACGACAGTAGTTGATCGGTTTACTTATGGTATACCATGGCTCAGTAGTAAGCGCCCAGTGATCCCTGATTTAAATGCTATTCAAAAGGCTCTTGATGCCGATCGTAAGTTCTGTGACCGTTTGCGTGAGTCAGGACATCTGGATTCTTATGCTGCAGTTTTTGATAAGTATTTGCAGGATGGTATCGTTGAAGTGGTTCCTACTGAGCATTACCATCGTTGTAAAGCTCTTCTACGACACTTTGCAGTGTATTCCAATTCCCGGACCACGCCAGTAAGACCCGTTCTTGATGGTCGGGCTTTTG